GCTGCTCGGAGCGTGCAGTCTCACTTCCGTTACCTGTTTCATTCCCCATTAATGTGTGCCTCTCACTGGAATGCACTGATCTACAGTGCGTATCGCCAACATGATCAGTATGACTGGCGGATCTGAAATCAGAGCTACATTGCTAAGCTTTAGTCGAATGCATAAGAAGAAGCGATGGCCAACTCACTTGCTGTGCACTGATTGGCTCAGGACGTCTCGATCCTGGTATATACAGCGACTACCCACAGCTGTACATCTGTCGCAGATAGGTCTGCTTCCGTTACATCTTATTTTTTTCACACGGCATGGGTCACACGCCTGGTGAAAGCTCAGCAAATGATGCACTGTGGTCCCAGGAACCGCGAGATACCTTGGCTATGCGCCTCTTTCTCATACGCCGGAGCTTATTATGTGCTGGCGACTGTGCATCTGACATATTAACCATAGTTTATGCGTCTTCAAGGTGGAGGCTATATTGATCCTAAGTTTCCGGCTTACGAAAGAAAGAGGGTGGTCAACACAATGAAAGTTGAGTGGAGTACGAAAGGGCTAATTCGTTAAAGTCGAGTCAGTTAAGAACACTACTTATCCGACGAGCAAATGTTCGGCGGCATTATCCCTGCCACTCAAACACAACGATAACATCATGATCAGCAGAATCTAGACACTGAACACACTTTGTGCATCTTAACAATGCACAGCACAGAATACCAGCCATACAGAGTAAATATAGTTAATAGATGGTGTGATATACGTAACGTGCGCCCTACATAAGCTATTCATTTGACCGAAATGTAGTCACTGCCTCACACTACACACGTGATGGATCACCTTGCTACTGATAACGTATGTTAGCTCTACTCTCCCCGCATACTGGCTTTGAATTGAGCTAGCTCCTCCAGCTATCGCTGCGGGTTGCTCCACAAAACAACCTCGGCACTGTACTTCGTGAGTATGACTGCGCTAAGCCCAAACAAGTCAAGCGCCACTGGCTAGCTTTCACAATGACAGTCAGGTACCTGAATTGCCCGGCTTGCACTTCTACCTTGGTTGTATCATATGATAAGAAATATCGGAATATAATTCTGAAGTTCAATAGTCATTTTCTATACTCTAGACACTTGTACAAATTATAGAACGAGACTAAAGGCTTCAATGCCTAGTTCATATGTTGACCAATTAGCCTTTGCCAGCGTTGAGCGGTTACAATACCTTTTGAGTGTGTACAGCCATGGGATTAATAGTGCATGGTGAGAATGCTGATTCACTCAATAGCCTAAAGCAAGTCGAGCACATATGGCTAGGCATGAGATGTGAAAACCTTAAGCTAGTAGTATGATAACTGTAAGGAGCCGTGTGCATAAGAAGTCTTGTGTATTCCTTTATGTATAATTCTAAGAGCAAGTTTAGTCAGAGATTTACTGATCATTGGGCAACCATCGACCTATACAGGATACTTCTGGGCTTACAGGAACACATAACAACGGTCAGTTTGTTATTACTGGTACGTGTATGCATTATTCTATGATACGAAGACAAGAGAAAGGTCCAGACTATTTGTGTTGCTAGGGTACAAGGAGATGTAATTGTAGATGCAACGTACCGATTCTTTAAGGCGGTAATGCAATCAAGTAATAAGGAGACTCAATGCTTGATGCCAGAACTACAATATCCGAAGATGAATGGCTGTTGAACGTCATCCACATAGAAGCTTTCGTGGTTCAGACTATTCAGGTTTAGCGGCTTGGTGTAGATCCCGATACTTACCCAGTCTCCCCACCCTGGCGCTGCCTAGATCTCGCACACCACCACTAATGTATTGATCGCTCTTCTTCCAGATCCACGAGAGGAAACGTGAGTTTGTTAGGCTGACAGTTAGTAGATAAGGAGCCCTGGACAAGAACGCCTGAAGGCGGGCTGTGCTTGTCTCTTGAGATGACGCCTGTGGCTGAGTAGCGATTGCGGATGGCTAAGTTCGCTAGAGTACCCTCGAAGTCGGGATATCATTTGCCAGTCACCTGAACCCCCTGTCAGTTCGAATGAGTATGTGGCTTTATTGGTTCACGGCTAGCCCCACATCAGCCGCAGCTTTAGTCCGGGCTGTGCATCAATTAGATGCGCTTGCGCCCGGTGAACTTATGAAGCAGCTGATGCCGCAGGCATCCATCTGTGGTTGCTCATCAGTTCATCAAGAAGAACGTTGTCTGCCTTTCAATCCTCTTCCTCCCTCATAGCATCTTCATCAGGCGTCCAAACGCACAACGTGACGATGGCAAAGTCGCATAAGTCTGAGCATGAAGAACCAAACCTCTGGAAAGAAGCTTACAAAGCACTCTACGCCGACAATGAGGAGAAAGAGCACATGCACAAGGTTCAAGCAAAGCTTAGGAAGCGACTCAACCAACCGGATCTGAATCTGAAGACGGAAGAAGGACACAAAGTACTAATGTATTTCATTGGCAAGCAGGGAGTCAAGATGGAAGCGAAAAAATACCCAGAAAGGTTCAGTAAAGTGTCGCAAAATATGTCGGTAATCAAAGAGTTGTTTGGGGCGGGTGCGGCCGTTGGTGGTCCATATGTCGCTATACCCGTTGCCGCCTTGTTCATGGTCTTCGCAGTATGCTATATAGCTCTTACTCCAAAGTCCTACGTAACGATACTGATGTTCCATCAGATGGAAGAATTTTACGTATCAGAAAAGGGGGCCATGCTAGACTTGGCAGAACGCGTCTCCGACTACTACGTACTTACTGCGAAAAGTCACGAACGTACTAAAATAAGACCCGAAGACGACGAAGACATGCGAAGACTGCGGCAAAAGTTGCGCGTTGTTTATATCGGTCTGTTCAAAGCGATCTCCTTTGCATCGGCACAGCTAGCAAACTTCTTTTGTGACGACTCTGGGACCAAGAAATGGTTCAAGAACGCAATGAAACTGTACAGCTGGAACGAGCAGGTTGAGGAACTCGACAGGCGCTACGATACATGCCAGAAATGCTGTGCTGAGATGAGCTGGCGCTTGACACTTGGGCCAGCACCGACACCAAAGTCAACAGTGTCAATGGGCCCGGGGCCACGCAATGCCCTACACTGGGCCGTGGCGGACAAGCTATACGCGAGAATTGACGAACTCTTGTCAAGCAAAGAATGTCCCATAAATGCGCTTACTCCAAGAAGCTGGACCGCAGTACATCTGGCTGCAGAGCATGGTGATACAAAGATCTTGAGGACTCTCCGCTCGGTTCCTGGTGTCGATGTCCATATTAGAAACATCGATGGCCGTACTTCTCTACACATTGCTGCGATGAACAATCGAGTCGGGGCAGTAAAGCTCATTCTTGGATGGGATCATAAGCTCCTTTCCTTACGAGACTCGAAGAATCGAACGGCATTTTTGCTAGCCGCTGCCAAAGGACACGTCAAGGTTCTGCAAGCTCTCAAGGACAAAGGGCAAGACATCAACGAGTCGACTATCCAAAATGGCTGGACAGCACTGCATTTGGCTGCAGAAATGGGCCATGTCGACGCTGTCAAATTCCTGTTGGCCAACGGCGCTCGCAAAGATGCACGCACAACTGCTGGAGCTTCCAAAGGGTGCACAGCTAAACAAATCGCCGAGCACAAAGGAAAGATGGAGGTGGCAGGGATTCTTTGACAGGATGGAAATCCTTCCACTACATATGCATACCATTTTCGCAAAGGAGTAACCCGAAACTGGAACCCTCTTTCGGGAGACGGGAGTCTTGGCGACCCTCTGAGCACCTAACGGTTTGACGACTACGCACTAGCTCCCACAGACGTCCCACATACGGCGAGGTTCATAGCGCATTACCCAGCTCATAGCGATTGAAGTAAAGAGCTCAACCTCTAGTGCGTCCCTCTAAAAGACCAAAAAAAGCGCTCGGGAGTATCCCTCTTATTACCGGCCGACTGTTGTGGACAAACGGCCTATCTGCACTGTGCTTCAAACAAGGGAATTAGCGCTCGCGCCGCACGTCAACCGGGTTGAACAGTACAGCTATACAACACTTATATCTGGAACCCGAATAGGCGGCAAAGTCGAGGTTCTAGCCGAAGGATTCTGGGTGGCTTGGTAATAGACGACGGGAGGCATACGCATCCCACACACGTATTCAGCATGACATCAGTACCGGACGAACATGTGGACCGTTTTTGCACAATCACAAATGAGGTTTTTTTTTCTCTTCTTTTCATCCATATCCGCATTCCTTCCGCAGTTGAAATACTCGACCTTTTTAGCTAGTCACGGTCTACGTATAGCGCCGAATTTTGACATGCTTCCATCCCGGTTAACAGGTGTTTGAGGCCCAGGCTTTGGAGCCCTGGAGCGGGAATTGTTTGATCTAACGGGCCCAGCCCGGCCACAGCAGCCTAGGGCCAGCAGTATGCGCTACGATATTTACTCAGCCTCATGTCGATGTACTCGCATTTCGCCCTAAGGAAGTCAGCCGGGCTGAGTTTGTGACGGAGGCTAAGATGAGCAAATGCAAGAGACGCGGTTATGACGTAACACTTCAGTCATGCGTGTTGCACGGCTAAGAGTTGGAGATGAGTATTCATGCAGCATGAGGGTGGCACAGGTGGTACAGGCCAATCCTTCGCGCGTGCTTCAATTGGGACTTCTCGGACATTACGTTGCGCGGACCTCCGTAGAAAAGCCATGTGTAGGCTCCTCGACCGTTGGGGGGTCTTAGGTCGGGGCACGTTTCGCAACATGACCCAAACCAGGCATCGAGCGAGAGGATTACTCGTCGACAATACACTGAGGGCTTTTAGAGTCCTACTAGGCTATGCAAGTTCGTTTCGGTGGACTCGACATGGCCTTGTAAACATGGCGAGCGGTCAGGCATGCCACTTGCAGTATCTTGTCTAAGGGGGGATATAAAGACTGGAGTAGACACCCGAGCATCCATCCATCCACATCTCACTCTTTATCTCATCATCTCCTGTTTCTTCACTACTATAGTTACCCTGAAAAAATGCGCGTCCCATCCATAGCACTCGTTAGCATGGCGGCCGTTGGCGTCGTCAACGCCCAAGGCTCCGTGGCAAGCTGGCATCCCCCCACAGCAGGAGACTGTATGTCAATCTACATTCTGTCTACCTTTTACTAACCCTCTCAGCCCGTGGCCCCTGCCCTATGCTCAACACGCTCGCCAACCACGAGTTCCTACCTCATAACGGACGCAACTTCACCCTCGACAACGTCAAGCATGCCCTCACGACAGCCCTCAACCTCACCGACGAACTCGCAGAACTCCTCAACAAATTCGCCCTGACCACGAATCTCGCTGCCAATGCAACTACCTGGGGCCTCGACACGCTGAGCAACCACAACATCCTCGAGCACGATGCCAGTCTGAGGTAAGTCGCAGAACCTCACTTGTCACACATATATAAAATCCAGCCGACTCTGTATCCCGAAAGAAGAAGAACAAGAGAGAGAAGTAGATACTGACATACCAACCAACCACCCAGCCGCGCCGACAACTTCTTCAACAATGACTCGACCTCGTTCAACCAAACCGTGTTCGACCGCACCCGCGCCTTCTGGACCGCTCCCTGGATCAACATCCAAATGGCGGCAAACGCGCGCCTCGCCCGCGCGCTCGACTCTGTGAAATTCAACCGCCAGTTCGCGCTGTCGGAGCTCGCGGGTGCGTTTAGCGCGGGCGAGGGCGCCGCGTATCTGCTTGTGTTTGGGGATAGACAGAATCAGACTGCGAATAGGGATATGGTTGAGTTTTTCTTCGGTAAGTCATTCTCCCCTTCTTCTTTTTTCTCATCCCCTTTCTAGCTGGCTGTGGTTGGATGGTTGGTTGGTATGGCTAGCTAACGATACACGCACTCGCCACCAGAAAACGAGCGTCTCCCCATCCAAATGGGCTGGAAAGCACCTAACCCTGCCATCTCATCCACGGTGCTGTTCGACATGTCTGAGCTCATCGTCAACGCAACGAATTATCAATCTGAGCAGATGATGACGCCTTGGTGAAAACAAAACCCTTGTTGTCTTCTCTTGTATCACTGGCTGCATTGCACACCAATGCTTCACATCTTTCCTTTTCATTTTCTTTCTTTCCCATTCTTAGATCTTCATTTGAGGGGTTGGGTGGATTATCTATGTGTTTGTTTACGTGTAGAAAGGGGGTTTAGATTGGGTTATCAGTGTTAGCAGTGTCGAAGAGATCAATGCCTCGTATTATCAGTTATCCTTGTATATAAACAGACATGCATACATACATAGACACGAAACCACATTCAACAGCTACTCTTTCGTCTGACAAAAGCCCCTCTCTTATTTCTTATTTTTCTTTTGTAGAGTTCACTGTCTACATCGCATCACTCCACCACTACCTACCCGTATCATCCACATTTATCCAACTTAAAAAACACCTATACAACTAATCACCATACACACACACACACACAAACATCTTACTTACCAATTATATACACGCATCCCCCGGCCCCTTTCCAAATCCAATACATGAAGCCCCTTTCCCCAAATTCACATACTACTCTATCAATCTCACTCATCCCCTCTCCACCACACCACTCTACATTACAGAGCATCTTATACTAGACGCATATTCCACACTAAATTCCACATAACCCACTACAAAGTCAACACGCAGTACTATAAGCAGCCTCACCGAAGCCATCCCTCGTTCCATAAATCCCACACAACCACTCCTTGACTTCTCTTGTCTAGTAGGAAAAGCCGTGTATCTAACAATAGCAGGCTAAAATAAACCAAATAGAAATATATTTCAGATATCCTATACCCAGTATTTCGATCGCGCTTCCATGCACCATCCTCTCTCTCTCTCTCTCTCTCTGCCCGTCTCTGTGTCTCATTCGGTAGCGCGTCTTTACATCATGTCCACACGCATCCAGCACAACCCCAAAAGAATAAAACCATACAAGCGTAACTACAGAATTTATATGACTAACACCGAATCCCCCCCTCTCCTACTTACCTCCCTATACGTATACGCATACGTACACGCTACAGCACACGATCAACTCCAGAACTACCACCACCACCACCACCACCACCACTTCCTACAGAAAAATAAATAAAAAAAATAAACGAGAACAGTTAACAATAGGCCAAGAAATCAGATATGTTTCCCAGTCAAAGAGGAGAATAAACAACTAACCAAAACCAACTAACCAACTAACCAACCAAATAGATACACGAAGTAACAAGTAGACGTAAGACGCCAGAACAAAAAAAAAGAAGAAAAAAAAAAGATGGGAGAAAGATGGGAGAATATATCAGCACATCTTGATGATTACACAGGATACATTCGATTGAAGTGAAGTGAAGCGAAGTGAGGAGAAGAAAAAAAAACAAATGATCAAGCAAGACTAACATCAACACGCCAAATTTATATATTAATCCCAATCTAAAACCTACTCAAGCGTATAAGCGGCAAAATTCTATCTATCTATCTATATATGTAAAAATGGTTAAAGAGAGGGAGAAGAAGAAGAAGAAGAAGAAGAAGAAGAAGAAGAAGAAGAAGAAGAAGAAGCTATACACATCTCAGTATTCATGTTTGTTTGAAAAAAACAATTAAATAAAAAAAATTACGTTTTGAATTTCCCCGTTCTAACGCAACACACACATGAGCTTTACATCTAATCTATCTATGCTCAGTATCATCAGCAGCAACAGCAGCAGCAGAACTAGGCAGGCCATCTCTCAATTCGTCTCTGCTAGTCCTGTGGCTGATTCCCCTCCAGAGATCGCTGAGGGTGCCGCTGAGACTGCGGCCTCGGCCTGTGGTGCGCGATGTGATGGCAGCGGTCATGGCACCTTCCGATGGGCCCTGGCTGTCGCGTGTGAGGCGGCGGGTCAGCGGTTCGCCGGATCCCATCATGCCGTCTGTGTCTGTGTCGTGGCCGTTGAGGCCGAGGGCGCTTGCGCGTCTGCGGATGGCGTCGTCGGGGTCGCGGTAGCGCACGCTGCCTCCGCGCTTGAGATCTTGGACCATGGTGCTGAGGCTGGCGCTGAGCGGGCTGGCGAGGAGGGGCCCTGCGATGCTGTTGCGTGCGCTTGGGACGCGTTCGACGGTGCGGAGGCGACGGAGCTGCGATCCAGGTGTGGGCGGGGCCTCGACTTGTGATCTTCCGCGTGTGGGTGTCCATGGAGCTCCGAGCTCGGGGTCCGAAGTAGATGCTAGAGGTGGGGGTGCGGCTTCAGATGGTAGTACAGGTGTTGATGTGTGGCGGTTTAGTGGCGGCGTGCGAGCTTCAGGTTCGTTGGGCTGGGTCCATGGATTCGCAACCAGCGACGATAGTATATCTGCAGTGACTAGCCGAGCGTGGCGTTGTGGCGTCACTGGGTCTGGAATGATCCTGATATCTGGCGTAGAGGGGCGCTCATCATCGTCACGATAGCGAGAGTTGATATTGATTGGGGGTGAAAGTGGTCGTGCTGTGGATGAGTGGTGCGTGCTCTCTGCATCCCCAGGGCTGGTTTCATCCACCTCGTCGGTATACCGCTCGCCTGTCAAGTGGATAACATGTTCTTCGTCGTCGTCGTCCTCAACATGTCGCGAAGGTCGTCCGCTCGTAATCAACCACACACCAAAGAAAGTCAAAGCGCAGCCACCCACAAACTTTCCTGCGTCTTGCGCCGAAGTCCTTTCAAAGTCGCGGTAAAGCACTGCCGATCCGCCAATGACGGACAGTGTGAAGAGGACAAACTGAACAGGAATGACCTGGGTGGCGTCAAAGCGCTGGAGTGCGCGGTTGACGTATTTGATCTGCATGATTGCAGTGCCGACCAGAATGGCAACCAGGAGATAGAAGACGGGAAACGTAATAGCACGCCAGAGCGTATACGAAAGTAGCGATGCGACGCCTTTGGTAGAGAGCGCCGTGTATCCGCCTGACGGAAGTTAGTGACAGCAACCATCAGACCCAACCAAACGTACCAAACAATCCTACAAGCCCCAGATCAATCAAAATGTTCTTTTGTCCATACTTGTTGCTCGCGCCCATGAGCAGGATAATAACACCAACGGTAATGCCAAGGTACGTCTCGAATTCCCATCGTCTTATCAGATCCCAGATCTCGCCCGGCCCGAGTTTCGGATTATTGTCATTGGCCGACAGCACCACCGTGACAGCGCCCCCCACTGCGATGATCACGCCAAGCCCATCACGTGTGCGAAACGGCTCCTTGAGCATAAACGGCGCAATGATGCAGTTTGAGATGAGCGCAACGACTCCGAGCGGCGATACAATCGACGCAGGCGCGAATCCGTATGCGAGAAAATTGCCAGCCTCTCCAATGGCCATGAGGATTATGCCACACCACCAGTAGGGCGACTTGAGGTATGACTTTTGCTTGTACGCTTCCTCCTCGAGGCCCGACCCCGCGCTGTCGTCGCTGTGTGCAGCGGGTCGCGTCTGCGCTGGCGATTGCGGAATCAGCGGATCCGACTCGTTCGCATCCAAGACATCAGCGCCAGGCGCATGTCTCTGGTCAGCCAGGCCGTTGCTGTGCCCGTCTCTGCGGCCGGCGCCCAGCTTGGAGACTTCGTCGTTCAGTCTGCTCAGGCTCATGCTCGAGGCATTCCTCTTCTTGCGCTGGCGCTCCTTGTCCTGCCACTCTCTGTCCAGGCGGATGTGCGCATACCGCTGCGTGTTGAGCGCAAAGGATATCAGCACGTTTCCTATTATGGCGGTAATGATGCCGATAAGACTGCTCCAGTTCTCCGGGTATCCGCTGCCTCCGCCGCCGCCGCCCGTCTCTTTTGAAAACCACGAGAAGCCATGATAGGGTGTTGCGCCGGCAGCGGGTGGTGGTGATGGTGGCGTCGCTGAGCCAGCAGTGACGTAGCTGGGGGGGATATGCATCGCGTCGGTACGGAAACTGGCGGACGTTGCCCAGGCAGGGCACACGCGAAATGCGATGGGCCAGCCGAAGGAATAGCCGGCGGCGCGCGGGGGGGGGGGGGGGGGTGGCAGCCGATGTATTATGTGAGGCGGAAAAGCAAACGCGTACGAGTATTATACCAGGCTACAAAGGAATGGAATACAAGGTGACATGGTGTTGACCGGCCCGAATGCTGCTGGCATTGCTGTGGTGCCGTCTGCCGCGACGCCTTGCAAGGTTGGACTGACATCTTTCACATGACGATAAGGCGGCCCAAGCGCCGCCGCGCGCTAGCAGTCACCATGCATGCACGTGCAGCGCCCAAGACGCCGTGTCGTGGCTAGCGCAGACAAGGAGCATCATGTTGTCTTCAAGTCGGACATGCACATAGATTACTTCATGCGCCCTGCTGTCGGGCCATCGAGCCCTGAAACGGGCGCGACAGCAGCAGCACACATGCTCCTCCTCACTCTCGGACCTATCATACACGACTAGACCAAATTCAATCCCAACTCAATAGCCACCGATACGCCCGTACGAATGCACATGCTGCTGGACGCATGCTTTTGCTGGACTGCCAGGTGATGTCTCGCGTGCTCCGTCCCCCTCGACCCACTACACCTGCGCCTCGCCGTTTGCCGCCTCGACCGTGCCGTTGTCGTCCTGCTCCATGCTCTCGGGAACGGGGTCGGGCTGAGAAGCAAGAAGCTTGATCCTCGCCTCGACGGCCTCCTCGCCCACAACAGACTCTTCCACCTGAGCCTTGCGGATGAAGACGGTCTGCCAGCGCTTGCCCCAAGCCTTGATCAGCTCAACCTCTTCATCGCCCAGCGCGCCACTCGAAGACTTCTCAATCAACGTGTCAGCAGAGCCCTCGGCCACGCCGCGCATCGAGTCCTCAATGTACTTAAAGAGCTCCCGCGCATTGTCTCTGTCCTTGGCCAGCGTCGCTTCAACCATTTCAATCTGCTCCTGTGGAAGTCCCTTCTGGAGACGGGCCGACGCGATCTGGCGGTTGCGGTTGGTCACCTTGGCGACTGTGTTGGACACCATCTCGAAAACCCAGCTCTCAGTCAAAGCCTCTCCAGCCCCCATGTGACTGCCAAACACCCACTGCACAACCGTCATAGGCGCAAGAATCGTGTAGTTGAGCAAGATGTCAATGATGCGCACAGCCACACCAGGCTGGTCTTTCCAGTACTCGACCACGCTCGCTACAATCTGACGGCGTGCAGTCTCGTTTTGCGAAATCTCCAGGAGCCGGTCCTTGCCTCGCTCAATGCACGATAGAACGTGAGACAACGACTTTGCGCCCAGGCGGCAGATGGCAGTAACAAAGGCATCGGTTGAAGGCACGAGAACTTCGCTGACACCTTGCGCGAGAGCCTTCTCGTGGATGCTGTCAATCGTGACTTGTACTTCCTCAGGTGTGGCCTTCTTTCTAAGTTGGTTGAGCAACGTCTGGCCTTCAACGGCATATGGGGTTTCTGACAGTGTTAGCAATGTAAAAGCGAACTGCAGACCCTACATACCCGGGTTGTCGTATTTGAAGTCGGGACTGTTGTCTGCGTCTAGTCGCTCGGGAATCAACGAGTGCATTGGCTCTGGCAGAGTCGACCGGATACGCTTGGCAAAAGAAAGTCTAATCTCCTTGTCCAAGGTGGCAAGGATGAATGCCTTTTTCGGGTGCAAGTTGGAAAGGTCGAGGTCGTCCAGCCTGTGGTATTGTTAGTACGCTTTCACAATGACTACTTCTCGACATACCATTCAGTCCACCTCCATCGGAACTCAAAGTTGCTAAGATGGTGCGAGAACCAGTCAAGGAATCGGTATCCCAACTCCAGGTCCATCATGGGCAGGTTCTTGTAAATGGTGCGAATAGCTCGTCCCAGCGATGGGGCAATTGCCGCAGGAGCTACTTTGCAGCACTGTGTAATGAGCGAGTGGTAGTAGACGAGCTTGTGTTCGGCGCTGGGCAGCTTGAACAGTTGCGAGAAGATGGCGTCAATAATCATGTCCTCAGACTTGTACTGGATCTTATCGCCGACTAGCTCTCGGAACTTATCAAAGGGCGAACCACGCTTGGCGAAGATGTCGACAGACCAGTAACAGTCCACGTCGACGAGAAACTTGGCAACCATCTCACGGTTGAAGTCGAGCTGGTTGATGGTATCCACAATAGCATCTCGTACAAGCGAAGATGCAATGTCAGTCGTCTTGGGCACCGTATCGACTTCCTGGTCGGCAAAAAGGGAGAAGTAGGCTTCCGGGAAGACGGGTCGAGGGCCAGGGTTAACGGGAGATGGGATGGTGAATGTGGGGAGAGTGTGAGTCTGAGGAGCCGTGGGCAAAGAGTCATCTTCTTTGGCATTCATGATACGCAGGGCCTCGGGGTCAATACGTGGAATGCACCTGAGCTCGAATCCAGATTCCGCCTCGGCTGAAAGCTGCGCCTGGAGGAGGGCAATGACGCTGTTGTAGCTGACTGGCTTGGACTCGAAGTCGCCGACATAGGAGTGGATAAGGCTCTCAATGGGAACCATGTTACTCGCTACAATGCCAGTGTTCTTCAACAGCTGCCGCGCATGCTCGTGGAAGCGCTCTCCTCCGGCAACGAGCGCGTAAGGGATGGTGAGTAGAATAATCTTGACGAGTTCAATACCAACAACCTGGGCAGGTTAGCAATTTTTTTTAAAAAAAAAAAGGCTGTGTCTTGTGGTCTACTCACATCGTTCTCATTTGCACTTTGCAGATCCACGACCGTATCAAACAGCTGACCGAGGAAGCCAAAGACACCGTCGTCCTCGTACAGCGATTGCAAGCAAGCAAAGAACCTCAGGAGGAGCTTGAACTCTTTCCACTCTCCAGCATTGAGTGCCTCCTGTGCTCTGTCTGAAACGCGCTTCATGGCCTCGATGGTGATTTCTGGCTTTACGTCGTTTGCGTAGTAGGCGACGGCCGCAATAAACGGGATTTTGAACGGCTGTTCGACAATGCTATGGCGTGTCAGTGAGGCTGGAGATGCAGACGTTTGACAACTTACAGTTGGACCATGACATCGAAGAAGTCGGAGCGGATACGCTCATCATCAAAGTGCTCCCCAAAGAACTTTGCAATGTCAATGGCCTCGTCTTGTGGCAGCTTGGTGGAACTGGCAATGTTGAGGAGCAGTCTACGCAACCTCGGAAACGGCGGCTCTTCATATCGGCGGCGTGGGATACCTTCATCATGGCGGCGTCGCTGGGGCCCACGGCGATCGTCACCACGGTAGTAGTTGTCATTGTCATCTGTGCGGCCATGTCAGTCTTGTCTCGTGAATATGGATACTGCGCAGAGTAAACGAATCGCTCCAGGGCACAACTGGATGCCTATTCCAACGGTGTGGTGTGGTCCAGCAAACCAATACATGCACGCATACTCTCTGCTTAAGTTTCCCAATCGGACAAGATGCAAACTCACCGTCGCGGCGGCGCTTGTTCCCTCGATGACCACCGCGATCACGCCTGTCATCACGTCGGTCGTCGCGCCTATCGTCGCGCTCTTCCTTGAAATCTATATCCGCCATGGCTGCGACAAACACTTCTTGCGCCCTTTGCTTCAGCGTCTCTGGTGAAAGTCTCCTTTGGCGCGACAGGCCTGAACTAGGATTTGCGCGTGGATCGTCGTGGTCGTGGAATGGATGATTGCGTTGAGGATGAAAGTCACTACGCCAGTAGCCGGGAATGCGGCCGTGGTCTCTGGCGGTTCGAGTGCGATGTTTTTGGATGGGTCGCGAAAGTGGATTGTCAACGTTGCCGGGCGGAAGTCGCACTGGCGCCTCTACGAGGGCTTGTGATGCAAGCGGCTTAGTGCGATTGGAGCTCTGGTCTTGGCGCTGCACCGATGCGTCTTCGACGTCAATGCACATGGACATGTCATTGGACGTCCAACTGCCATTGACTATTTGCTGTGCATGGTCCGGCCCTGCTATGGCAATTGAGTTTTGCCCATGGGATGGTGTGTGTTCCACCTGCATGTCTATGCCTGTTTCGGCCGCTGTGTCTGGGGTGGCCTGCATAATGCTGCACTCTGGCTGTTTCTCGAGTTTCGTGTATAGCAAGAAGAAATGGAGATTCTGACGGTGTCAGCCAAGAGTGGGTATGCGTTTATGAATGTGTCTTGCTGAAGTACTGTGGAGATAGTAGGCCATGTTATATACTGCCTGCTTTGCCGCGTTCTGACCGGAGACTGGCTCTCACTTGAAAAGGCGAGCTTGCATCAAGTAAGTAAAGGTACATCAACAGAAATACATATACGCAGTTCACGTCTTTCCAGAATCACACGGCCAACAAGTCAAGAAGACAAGAATGATCAAAGGACTTCTATCCATATAGGGGAGTATGCGCAAAGGCAGGTAAGACAGCAGAGTAGCCGGTGCCGTGTAAGCATTTGCTACACTGCAGACAATGTCATCTTTTGCTCTAGTAGCGTTCCAGTGCCGGTCGTAAAGCTTGCCAGTCCATATGCTCTCAGCGCAGGGTCATTCTCCAGACAGAAACGCCATGTCGACGGATCCGGATTAAACCGTCCATATTGCAAAATGAGCCTCACCGCGCAATGTGCAGCCCATCGAATAGATCTTGAATAGAAGAAGAAGGGAAAAAAAAAAGAAAACGCCCGCATGCAACGCAGGTGACGCATCATAAACCCATGCTGAAGCGTCGGAAAATGGGAAGAACAAGACGCCTCCTCAGCTTTCCATACTCGGTACATCCCAAATTTTTGCCCGCTCCCTCATTCCGTGAGTTGTGCAACCCTTTTGCGCCCAGTCATCATGTCCAAAGGCAAGTGAGGAACATTATTTGCGGTGGCAGCCCACCATCATTTCGCGTGAACGGCGAGGCCAGTAACCCCGAAAGAAAAGCAAGCCAGGTCATTCTTTGTTAAACGTGAATGTCGGTATCATTTCAGACGCGCGCTCATACAGCAGAAAGGGTGCTGCCTTCGTAGTATACACCTGATAAAAACCGACGCCCATTTGAGACTCCTTTTGCATCTCTCCGGACGGAATCGCTTTGTGCTCAGGAGCGGAGAGGATCAGAAGTCGCCGCATGAATAAATAGTATCGTTTTCGAATGATGGGGCACTGGGGCTTAATCCAGCCGGGCCATCATCTGATCCTTGGTCAAGGGCTTGAAGCTGGGCGATTCGAAGTCGAGGCCACGGGCAGCCAGTGTCGCGCGGTGGTGCGGTGGTACGAGCTGGCTGTTGAGGTGAGGAGCAATCGAGAGTTCTGCGTGGGTTAGCCTCTGCGCAGCGACGCATAAAAAAAACAAAAATACGACGGGCTTACCATGATGAGTAAAGTTGTACAACTCTGGCAGATCACGAATCGGGCCGTTGGTGTTGCGCGAGTCGGGCAGGCGTGTGTTGGGATCCCTGAGCTCGTCGAAGAAGGGGTGGACCATGGCATCGATTGCCGACAGGCGTTGTGTGGGAGTGTATTCGAGCAACTTGGAGATCAAGTCGATGGCGTTGGCATCGGCCTTCCGGAAAACCTGGGGGAGGGCCCAGTGTCAGTCAAAGCGGCACGCACACGGCATATGTAACAAGTCATCATCATACCTTAGTAAACGGATGAGGCTTGATTTGCGGGAACTTGTGCTCCATGTAGTTGGGGTTCATGGTGCGAATCTGATCTCGAGTAGGTGTTCCCAGCACCTTGATGATCTCTACGAGCTGGTCAATGCCCGACTCGCCTGGGAAAAGCGGCTGTCCGAGCATCAACTCTGCCATGACGCAACCCGTCGACCAGACGTCTGCACACACACGGTCACCATTAGCACGCACTCACAGCACCATTGCGCAAAGCAAGACAAAAAAGAGGGACGTACCAATCTTGGTGGTGTAGTTTGTTGCTCCAAAAATCAACTCAGGCGCACGGTAGTACCTGGAGCAAATGTACGACACGTTTGGCTCGTTTTCTACCAAGATCTTGGCACTTCCGAAATCGCACAACTTGAGGATACCCGTCGAAGGGTCGAGCAGCAGGTTTTGAGGCTTGATGTCTCGGTGGCAGATGCCCTGCGAGTGGATGTAGGCGAGAGAGCGGAAGAGCTGGTAAATGTAGAGCTTGACTTCTAGCGTGGGCATGACCGACTTCATCTTGTTGAAGTAGCGGGATGCGCGGTACACGGTCTCGGGAACGAACTCGAGCACGAGATTGAGGTACACCTCGTCCTTCTGTGGCTGGAACGGTTAGCTACACGAAGACGGACGGCGACGACGGGGAGGAGGGGGGGGGCTTGGCTGCAGACACGTACCCGCTCGCCATTGTTGTAGAAGAAGGCCTTGAGCTCGACAATATTGGGGTGGCGGACAATGCGCATGATCTGGAGTTCGCGGTTCTGTCGTCGTCGTGTCAGTGGTGCATGCGCGGAACGAGAAAGGGGGGGCGCAAAAACACACCTTGAAGCGCTTGTCCTGGAGCACGCGCTTGATGGCGGCATCCTCACCACTGGGCGACAGCTTGGTCTGGAAGACTACACCAAAGGAGCCGTTGCCGACAATCTTGCACTGCGTGTATGCGAGGTCCTTGTAGTCGCCCGTCAGGCCATCCTGGACCTTTTCGTGGATAACTTCTGTAGGGGGCTCGTGAGTAGGACAGCAATTGACAGAGGCGGGGGAACACGGGCAACGGCTTACCACCCATTCTTAGCGAGGAGAAGGCCGATGGCCGGTTCTGGCTCATTGTTTGGTGTTATGCGTAGGCGAGGGGGTCCGCAGGCGGTGCGCGGATTGCTATCGGGAGTGGGGCGGGCTGTAGCTGAGCAGGGTGTGGCAGGGAGAGCGAGGACGGTGGAGGATAGCCGTAGTGGATGGGGGAGAGAGAGAGAGAGAGAATGAGGGAGGGAGATGGTGGTGGTGGTGGAGGAGATGGTGGTGGAGCTGTGGTGCTTGTAGGCGCGAGGGCGAGGGCGAGGGCGGGTGTCAAGAGGGCGTGGTCCCGCGTGCCGTCTGTGCAGTAGCAGGTGACGGTGGTGTGGCTGAGGGAGCTAGCGAACCAGGCAGGCGCAGGTGGTGGCCGGAGCAACGATGCTCAGGCACGGAGGGCACAGAGGGCGGGGATAGAATCGAGAGTCGGGGCAGCAGAGGCAGAATTGAGGGCGAGAATATGCAGCTTGTGAAGGAGCGATGAAAGGCGACGATGGGGTTGAGTGACGGCAGTGCTGGGGATTAAGGGCGGGGCACTGCTAGTGCGAAATTGGGTGCCAACGTGATCAAAAGGCCTGCAATTCACGTACTTGTCAGCGCGCAGACCAGTGGCAGAGCGCCTGGGCTCGAGGGAACCATACAGTTGCAGTAGTGAGCCGTGTGGTGCAGGAAATATGGACCTGCAGGAGAGAGGCGGGTTGACGAGGATCAATGGCCGTGGAGCCGTAGCGATGGGGAGCACGAGGCTGGGTGGTGCGAGGGGGGCCGGGACAGGAGAGGAGGGAGTGAGGGTGAGTGAGGGTGAATGAGTAGGGGTGGAGTGTGGCGGGTGTGGGTGTGGGTGTGGGTGTGGGTAGTGTGTGAATGAGGTGTGTGAAAGTGAGCAGGAGCGTGAGTGAGTAGGGGTGATGGTATTGGTGGGCAGAGCAGAGCAGGGCAGGGCAAGCAAAGCAAAAGCAGGAGAGGAGAGAAGAGGAGAAGAGAGGAGAGGCAGAGGCAGAAGCAGAGGCAAGAGTAGAAGCGGCGAAGCAGAAGCAGAAGCAGGCGCAGGCACAGGCTGGTAGGCTGGTAGGCAGGCAGGCAGGCACAGGCACACGAGGAGACAGGAGGCAGGAGGGAGGGAGGCAGGCAAGGCAGGCAAGGCAGGCACACACACACTCACTCACCCACTCACTCACTCACACATACACAGCAAGAGCATGCGCGTCGGTCGTTCTTGAAACAGACGTCAGCGGTCGGTCGCGGCTTCCTTTCTACGACGGCCACTGCCACTGCCACTGCCACTGGCATTGCTGCTGCTACGACTGCTATTTTTTGACACGACAGCGCAGCGAGCCAAGTGCGAGTGCAAGTGCAAGTGCGTGTATGTGCGTGTGTGGTGTGTGGTGTGTCTTCACCAGGGCACACGCCGCTGCATGAGCCGACACAGGAATGACCTCTGCATCTGCGTCGTCTGCTCTGGTGCTTGCTGCTGCAGCTGCTGCCGACGCCGGGCTGCACGTGAGCCATCAGATTTCTTCGCAGCACAAGGCGCCGCCGTCACCGTCATGCCGCCTGCAATAAGCTGCACCCACTTTGGCCTGCTGGCGCGTGGCTGAGACGCTCTCCAATCGGTGCGCGCCCTGCCCGTCGTCCTTGATAGCCAGCTGGGGGTGGGACTGCCGGCCCAGCCAGGCGCTGCCCGCCCGTTGGGTGAGGAGCTGGGCGGAGCTGGGCCGCGCTGGGAGGAGCTGGCACAATGGGGTTTGACATGCGACAACGGTGCGCGTCGTCGTGGAGCAGCGTTGGCAGGGCGTGTGTGCGGCGAGGATGCGAGGGGGGCGAGGGCATGGGCGGCTGCGAGGGGGGGGGGGGGGTGAAAGGCTATTATCCAGAGCCCCACGACACCTGTAGCGAGGGGGCCCCTCGCTCAACAGTCGCCAGCCAATTCCATGCCACGGACGCTGCGCAACCACAGCCAGGCCACCGCTGGTACCACGACAACCCGTCGACTGCGAAAAGCAACACAGGCGACAGCGCAGGAAGAAGAAACGACGGCGACGGCGACGGCGAAAGTGAGAGTGAGAGCGAGAGCGAGAGCGAGAGTGAGAAAATTGCGCCCGGCCGGCCGTCACAGCCGCACCGAGCAGCTGGGCCCGCCCTCTCTCTCTCTCTGTGTGTGTGTGTGTGTGCCTGTATGTGGTAGTGGTGGTATACATGCAGTGCTGGATAGAGACATGGTGCCCATCTATGGGCGGCCAAGACCTTGATGCTCGACACTGCCATCGTGCCTTTGCTGCACCATCGCCCATTGCCACGCGCATGGGTGCCCGCTGCACTCGCTCATGCCCATCGGACGTCAACGTTGTCGCCATCATCAGCATCATCGTCGTCGTCGTCGTCGTGGTGCCTCGTGGCCTGCAGCTCCACCTCGAGGCCAGCTGATGTTCTCTCACGCCCCGGGCCTCCCAGAGCCATGGCGTCTCGTGCTGGCTGCTGGCGCTGCTGCATCCCATCCACCCATCCACCACCCATCCGTCCTCATCCTCTCCGCTGGCCCCAGCCAAGCACACGCACGGCTCTCTCATCTCCTCGCCGGCTGCTCGACACCTATACCACGGACGCTGCTCTGCTTCTACACTGCACTACCACTACTCCCCTCGCTGCTTGACCGGCAAGGCCCACCCGCCGGTGTGTGTCGGTCGATGCACCCACACACCCCCTTACCCTAGGTGAACCACTGCTCGGTCCAGTTACACGCCGAACCTCAGGCTGCACGCCTTGATACCCAAACCGGCCACACTTGCAGCTCCCGGCATCATTCCTCCCTATTCATGACGCCCATGGCTCGTGTTTCCCCCTCACCATGCGAGCCTTTGCCGCCCCTGGTGCTGCAAGGCACGTGCAAATCGCGCCCCCAACCCCAAGTCTCCCCGATGCACCACCACGACGCCCGCCTTGGCCCGCCATGGAGCTGTCCACCTGCGCCTGCACCTGCGCCTGCACCTGCGCCTGCACCTGCGCCTGCACCTGCAGCACCCTCTGCCCTCCTCGCTCGGCCTCAGCGCGGCTGAAACAATTGCCAGAGTCATTTTTTTCGCGCGCCTATGGTGTGCGTAGCCTGCCAGCCAAGCTTCACACCACCCATGGCCGCCACCCATGTTCGCCCCTCCTACGTCAACCTGCATCCTTGCAAGCCCGCCTGGAATTGCCTTCCACCCTATTGGCCCCCGTCATGTGACTGCAACCCTTACCACAACACCACCACCATGCTGCCACCCGCGACCGCCCACTGCCCATCACGCAGAACAAATACGCCCGTCTCCTCGCCGGCCCGATTGTTATTTTGGTCGTTGCCAAACACGCTGGGCCATGGCGATTCCCCTCCGCTACTACGTCGGCTGTATCCATCTCGTTTTCACCAAGCCCGCCACGCTGGTGCACACCAAGTCGGTACCACCGGCCTTCCCGCTCTGTCTCAGATCTGATGGCGGCCCGCTCTCCACGAATGAACGCCTACACCTAACCTACCTACATACACGCACATACACCCACGCCCCAACGCTTGTGCTTGCTTCCCTGACTAAACTTAGCTGCCACCTCTCTACCACACGCCGCCCTGTGTCCCCCTCAACCTTGGTCCAAGACACGCATATGCACCTCAGCCTTGTGGAGTACCCGCCCGCGTTACACCCACGCCTAGTCTCGACGACGAATCTGAGCAAATCCATCCTGCAGTCCAACGCTCCGAAACTCCGCTGCCTAGTAGCACGCCATCGCGCAGCACTAGTTTCGCCCATGCAGTCTAGATGAAGACAACAGACGAGCCCCCAACCGTTGTACACGCTCTGAATCGGGCTACCTACATTGCGAGCCATGTCCACAGCCCCCATCTCAGCTGCCATGTTGAGCTGGACATGGCCATCACACCATCCCATTACTACCACGGCCATGCTTCGACATGAATTCTAGCCGTTGGAACTCATGACGTGCGTTTGCCTTGGACATTTCTCAAGTACAGTACCCCTTACTGCACTACGTCTTGACATACTATGGTCGCCGTTTGGTCCCTTGTCCACGGTGAAACACCAACTACTGACATGATCTGTCACTATTCCCCCACGCCGCCAGACGGTAGCCCGCAGCCACCGCTGTTCTGTGTATCACGTATACCGTCGCTAGCCACAACACGTCTCGTTTAAATGGTAATCCCAATACTCGCTAATCCATCCTCAACAGTTTCATTCTCCGGCCCCCCTGTGTCCCTGTTGTGTTTACAGAATCGTAATCTGCACCCTCACCCTTTGGGAACAGTTACACAGCAAATTTGACAGGAGCCCCCCCCCGATATCTCGCCATCTCCGTTCCCCAACCAGCAATCCTTCCGCTGTCTGGCTTGCTCGGAGAACAGGCGGTCAATACGGCGTTACGTTGCGTTTCTGTGACTCCTTGTCTGTAGCACCAACAGCATCCGTCAGTTCATCATCACATCACTGGAAATCCATCATCAGCCAAACATCTGCTACCCGGCTCGCCTTGTTCCTCAACACTAACTTACCTCTTGCCAAGCATGCTCTCAATCACGCAATAGCTAATAACCATAGTATCATGCTGGAATCAATCCACATTTCTACCACATCTGTCGGCTACAACAATCTCGGCTATCACAATCGCACATTGGACCACCAACATGAGCCTGTCTATGCAGCCTTGGTCACACGTCTCTGCCATGCCTCATCTGCGCTAAGCTGCACGAGAACAATCCGAAGCATCCATGTGAGATTGCTTCAAGAAATATCCATCTCGACTCATCTTCACTAACTCGTGACTGCATTTTGAGTTTTCTGCATTACGGCCATAATGGCTGCGATTTGACAGTCCGAATATCAAGGTGGACTAGATTGCTGATATACTTCCATGACAGAGAAACAACCATTCTTCTCTGGACTCTACGGCTAGATGGTACATCTCTTGATTCTTAGACTCCAATCGAAGTGGCTATCTCGGACTAGTACTATATCGACATGGCTATATGTGATATACTCTGCGACACTTTCCACTCAGCGATTCATTTCTATCCATACTTTATTTCTATCTCTTCTTCGCTCACATACTTTAATCACACATCGGCACAGCTAGATAGAATATACTTTGCGACACTTCTCAATCAACGACTCATCTCTCACTCGCTCACATACCCCTGCCCCTCGAATACATGATATCCCCTCGCCTATCTCTTCCGCATCCAGCCCAGCCCGTTGCACGACCTGCTACGCGCTGCACTTTACTTTCGCCAGCCACGTCGCCGTTCATATTTCAGCCTTGCCGCCACCATGTTCATGCACAGCCGCCTACACACCCATCTCCCGGGCCAACCGATACCCCAGTCTTAGTAATTATTGAAGTGTCAGCAGGTACAAAGCCCATCCATAATCGGCGAAGCTCTGTCTCTCTGTAGCCCAGAACGGGAACAAGACAAGGGCAAATGCCGGATTTAATCAACCTGGACGCCTGAAAACTCGTTATCTTATCCCCGCATTTCCAGCACTTTGGTGCATGGGAAACGCGAGACAGATGAATGTTTATCTTAAGGAATGGCACGGGTAGAGTATTACGGGTTCAGAGTGCTAGCGCTGGAAATATACATGATGTAGCATTCTTACCATCGCAGTACATGCTCCGAAGATGCAAGCGCTCACACTTGTACTCACTTCAGCGCTAGATAAAGAAAAAAATCCCCCAATTCATTCGTTCATCGATGAACAGAAACCCACGCCCATCACAGCCCCAAATTCCCATCCGACACGCACGCACCGCATCCGACACCAACCAAACCAACCTAGTCTCCCTCTATTTTTCCCTCCCAAAGAACCCCAGACTCCGACTCCTCCTCCTTCAACCAACCAATCTATCACACCACGCAGCGGCACATAATTGCCAAGCCACGTGTTCGCTTACCCCTACTTACCCATCTCTCCATCCATCCATCCATACATGCATGCATGCATGGTAACCAGAAAAGAAAAAAAGGGGCCCCGGGCGGCTAATCAACAATTCCATTTCACTGTACTTTGCTGCATCTGCTATACCACTTTACCTACTTCATCTCATCTTACACTATCCATCTAGCTAGCTATCTCGCTTCACCTTGTCCTGTCTGACTGACTCTTTGCATCTGGCCTTGCTCCACCTCGCTAAGTAAGTATGGGTTTGTCTCGTGCTTGGTGCGGAGCTGGTGGGTTTCAGTCTGCGGATTGGATGGGGAAGTGGGCGGATACTCGTGATATTGGTATTTCTACTGTGGGGTGTTTTTTGTTTTTTTTAAAAAAACCCCCCTGGATACGGGGCTTGTGGATTGCCCTGGGGTGGACGCGGTGCTGCGGGCTGCGGGCTGCGGAGGAAGTGGGAAGCGGGAAGGCAAGGGGGAAAGGGCACCGGGAAACGGGTATAGTGTGGGGGCCGTGTTTTCGAGTCAAGACAGTGAGGAGGTTTTTTCATGCGTTGGTAGATAGATGGATAGATATGTCGGCATGTAAGTAGATAGGCAGCTGAGCTATCCAACGAATGAATTGAACTGAATGAACATACTTATCCCTGGGCGTTTTTTCGCGTTCGGGTGCTGGGGGCTTGGCTTGGATTGGAGGAGCCTGCTGGGGAACATGGCGTGCTTCAGCCTTGTGCCATGCGGGAGGTGGGCGGGTAGTGCTGTGTATATAAACCTAGGCTGTGGGAGTGATATGTGCGTGCATAGTGGTAGAGATCGTGTCGTATCGTATCGTGTCGACTTGGAAGGACGAAAGAAATCGCACATACTACTTCAACTAACCGACTAACTAGCTGCTCAACTACCAGGCACAAGAGTATCGACTCCTTTACGCTAAAGTACAAAACGAAGAATGCGTCTTCTCAGGTTACTCTGCTGCTGCTTCTCCAGCCGCTATGAGGACTCTGTTGCTGATGCTGAATACAGTACGTTTTATATCTCTACTTTACCTACACCCATTCCAACCTGCATTCCCATCTCCCTCGTCTTCTCTCCTCTCCTCTCCTCTCCTACATACTAATCACAACCTGCACCCCCCCCCCCCACCCACACACACACAGTCCCCTACGCCCACTCCCTCAACGACACCCCCTCGGCCATCCCGCCCACCTCCAAAACCAGCACTGTCCAAGAATCCACACGTCCCGTCCACAAAGATACAACGCCGCCCCCAAACTACTCGGCCGCCTCACTGGTTCTCGCGGCCCCTGCACCAGCGCGCCTCCAGGAACTCAGTGCCGCGGGCGAAATCTCGCAGCATGTGGTGCAGCGCTATGCTAAGCCTTTGGATCAACAGCAAAGAAAAGAACATAGGAGTACGTGTTTGGATTATACGCCTGGTACTTTTCAAGTCGTATCGAGTGTATCGCCGTTGTCGAAGCAAGAAAACAGCAATAGCAGCAGCAGTAGCGGTAGTGGTAGTGGTAGTGGTAGTAGTAGTGGTAGTGGTATCCCAACTCGATACGAACTCCAAAGCCCCTTTGAATCCCGCACCGTCTCCCCCATTACACCACCTACGCAGCCGGCGAACCGCCCTTTTATCTTCTCTGCCGGAGGAGGAGGAGGAGGAGGAGGAGGAAGAGGAGGAGGAGCTGGTGGTGGTGGTACTTGGAATACATATGATACTAGTAATCTTACGACTAGTACTACGGCTACGAATTTCCCGTTTCCCGTTTCACAATCACAATCACCATCGGCATCGCTGTCGCGTACGTCTACTGAGTATGGGAATTACAATACTACTACTACTACTACTACTACTGCTACTACGATTCCGGCTCGAGGGATACCTGCGGTTCCTACGGTACCGGTACCGGTTCCATCTCCATCTGCACCTGCACCTGCGATACCAAGTCCAGCACCAGCACCAGCACCAGCACAACAACTTCAATTCCAACAACAAGGCGTCTTCTGCCCCTCCTGCGGCTCCCCCAACAAAACCCTCACGACGCACTCGTCGGCGCTCAACGCCGGGCGGCCCTACCGCAAATGCAGCAACGCCGCGTGCGCCGCGTGGAACGGGTTCGCAGATTCCATAGGCCTCGCGCCAGGCACGCAGTGCGAATGCAGTCCTGCGAGCGAACTGCGGCTGGTGGCTATGAATCGGCGGGACGAGGCGGGCAGGAGACAGGCGTTTTATAGTTGCCAGTTCAAGGCGTGTGGGGCGTAGAGGTATTGTCTGGATGAGAGTGGTGCGGTGAGGTTGTTTGTGGAAGCTGAGATTGCGAGGTTGAGGGGGGAGGGCGTGATTTAGGATATGGGATTTGGTGGAGGGGCTGATTTGGGAGATGGTGGAGGGAGGGTTGACAGTGAGGGGGTGGAGGGTGGAGAAGGATGGGAGGGAGGGAGGGAGGGTAGGAGCAGATACAAGAGGGAAGCTGGCATGGGGTGCTGATAATGATACCTTTGTTAGTTTGTGCTGGAGCCATGGTGATAATACTTCTGAAGACGATGCAGCGTGCTCAAGTATCGTGACCCTGAATCTTATTTATTCATGTTTTACTACATTCATGCTGCCCCGATGCATGAGAATATAATTACAATAATCGGTAATCAGGATACCCATGTCTTGCACTCCCGAAAAAACCACGGATGATGCCTTGTCCATCTGCTGTTCTGCATGGAAACAGTCAAGGATTCCTGCTCACTCCCTCATCTTAGTCCCAGAACCGCGCAGAGTTCAGTGTTGGCCCCCTCAAATGCTGTTTCAGTTTCTCCTCACTCGCTTTTCTGTGGCCCATCATCTCATCCTCTCGCACTTGCATTTCCTCATAGTAGTGCCTTCCCCAACGACTCATGCCTTGTTCGGGCATCATGTCTAGCTCGATGAGTTCGTCCATGATACGCAGCCGTGCAACTTGGCGTATGGTTAACAGCTCCCATTGGGGAATCTTGAATACAACGCTCTGTTCGTCCAGACACAAGACGAAAGAGTCATGGTCTGAGATTTTGGGGAAGGATGGTGGCTCGGCTTGGTCGGGGAGAAATGGCGTCAAGTCAAAGGGCTGGCCATCTGGAAGCAGTTTCTGCGACTCAATGTGCTTTCGGTATGCCAATAGCATTTCCCTGCGTTTCCAATGATAGTGCTCGCGCAAGACGGTGTATACAGCTGCAGGGGTCTTGCGTAGGCGCAATACACTGATTCTCGGCATATACTTTGCAAGCAGTCTATCGGCAAACCGACGCATTGCCATTTCTTCGCCGAAGAGCAAGCCGAAGAGTGCCTTCCAATCGAATGATAGTTGCCAAGGATCGGTTTGGATGTTGAAGGTTACACCGGGAATGAGGACATCGCTGACAATGCCGCCTTTTGTGAAGCCCTTGTTCAGTATGCCATCGCCCATGCGGACGACAATTGATTTCGCATGTTCAGTATCATGTCGTACCCGATGGGCTGCTTTGACAACCTCGTCTAGCCAGTCCTGGACATTGTCGTATAGATCGAAAAGTACGTCTTCGTCATAGTCATCTGCCACGAATGTCACATATTTGCCACTACCGTCCTGTCGCAACTCTTTGTGCGAGCTTTCGGCATCGGGGCAATCCTCTTCAGGAGCCTCAAAACAGACAACATCGTAGTCATCTGGTGTAGAGAGACGGATTGTGAGTGACAGCTCGGGTACCCAGAAGTGACGAAAGTGGCGTTCAATCATGGTCTTGTGGTAGCGGGTGATTTTTCGGAGGCAAGTCCATTGGTATGCCGGGTCGTTGTCGTAAAGGGAGATGAGGTCTGAGATGATGTGGTCAATGAGTTCGCGGGACAGGTCTGAGAATCCCGGCATTGCGCCGGAATTGGGTGTTTTGTTGATGCAGTTGAGATGTGAGAGAAGTGGGTTGAGGGGTTGGACAGGTTAGCGTCGAGATTTACGCCTAGGGCAAGAGCTCTGGGTGAAGGGTGAAGGAGCTCGCTGCTGCCTGGGTACAGCAAAGTGGAGCTCATACTCAGTTTCGATGAAGAGCCCGCTTCATTGCAACTTCACTCTCACTACTACACTCAATCAAACCCTTTCAGTCATGGCAGACAAACATGCTATTCGCTCCATTCGACATTCGCTAGGTGCAGAAGCACTTGAAACCACAACGCGTGATGGTCACGCGTTACGTCAGCTTGGCGGCTGGCACTACCACACAATGGGCATGGCATTCACAAACGACGCTACCAACAGCCTCGGTCAGCAGTATGCCGTCTGGGGGTTTGTCGGTAAAGCATTGAACATCCTGTGGAATGGACGTCGAGGCTGCTGGCGTTAAAGCGGAGGCGATAAGCATCGTACCTCGGCAACTTTGACACGCGGAGTAGCGCAACAGGTCCCGTAGCCGTCGCTTGCCACAGTCTCGCCTCCACGTTTTGTTGAAGTACCCCAGACTTCCCCTGTGGCTCGAGAACTTGACCTCCTCAACCCACAAGCAACATGTCTGTGCCATACGACCGCGCCTACGATCTGCTGAGCAACAGCCAGAACGGCCATGTGCCGGCTTCACAGCGCATCCCCGTCATCGCGCGGCCGTTTGTTAGCGAGAGAGCTGCAAAGACGCTCGATATTGTAAGCGTCAAGCAATTGGCAGAGACGACACGTACTGACGGCCTGCGTAGGTAGAGAAGTTTGTCGAGGAAGAATGCATTCCCGCCGACGCCGTCTACGTGCGCCAGCTCGGCCAGACGGTCCAGGAGCGCTTCTCGGCGCACCCGCCTGTTATTGAAGACCTCAAGAAGAAGGCACAAGAGCTGGGGCTGTGGAACATGTTTCTGCCCAAGGCGCACTTCAAGGAGGGCGCCGGCTTCAGCAACCTGGAATACGGACTCATGGCCGAGTACCTGGGCAAGAGCATGACAGCCTCCGAGGCGGTCAACTGCGCTGCCCCTGACACGGGCAACATGGAGGTGCTTGCCAAGTACGGGTCCGAGGCGCAGAAGAGAAGATGGCTCGACCCGCTACTGCAGGGCAAGATCCGTTCCGCCTTTTTGATGACGGAGCCCCAGGTGGCCTCGAGTGATGCCACCAACATTGAGATGAGCATCAAGCGTGAGGGCGACCACTATGTGCTCAACGGCCAGGTTGGTGCCTCTCCATCGCCTCTACCCGACACGGCTAACGCTGGCTAGAAATGGTGGTCCTCGGGCATTGGCGACCCTCGCTGCAAGATCTTCATTGTGCTGGGAAAGACGGACCCCAACAACGCAGACAAGTACAAGCAGCAGTCGGTCATTCTCGTGCCCAACGACACGCCCGGCGTGACCATCCACCGCATGCTTTCGGTCATGGGCTTCGACGACGCGCCCCACGGCCACGGCCACGTCACGTTTGAGAACGTCCGCGTGCCGGCCAGCAACATGGTGCTCGGCGAGGGCCGCGGCTTTGAGATTATCCAAGGGCGTCTTGGTCCTGGACGTATCCACCACGCCATGAGGAGCATCGGGTCGGCCGAGAAGGCACTCGAGTGGTTCCTGGCGCGCATCAACGACGAGCGCAAGAAGCCGTTTGGCGAGCTGCTCAACAAGCACGGCATCATGCTGGAGCGCGTGGCTCGCTCGCGTATCGAGATCGACGCGGCGCGTCTGGCCGTGTGCAACGCTGCCATCCAGATTGACCAGACCAATGCCAAGGGCGCGCTCAAGGAGATTGCCGAGGTCAAGGTGCTGGTGCCGCAGGTCAACCTCAAGGTGATTGACTGGGCGATGCAGGCGTACGGCGGTGCGGGTGTGAGCCAAGACACGCCGCTGGCTCAGATGTGGGCATCAGGCCGGACGATGCGCATTGTCGACGGACCTGACGAGGTGCATCTCCTTCAGCTCGGCAGGAACGAGAACAAGAAGGGCCTGGCGCACAAGCAGAGGCTGGAGGCGCAGAAGAAGAAGGGCGACGACCTTTGCAGGAAGTACGGCATTGAGCCCCAAGATCCGCTGTACCTGAACCGGACGAGCGCGGCGGCCAGTAAGCTTTAGATAGGCATGTCGAATAGGAATCGTGAGCTTGAGCGTGGGCCTGTGCATTTGCTTGATATATGGCGACGGATAACAGTCCATGGCATGACGTGGGGGGAGCGAGTCGAGGTTGGAACAATGTGGCTAGCGCAGAACGCGTCATTCAGGGCCTCGAGCACGCGCCGTGGCCAGCCTCAGCCAGTGCAGAGACATCATGTCGTCGTCGTCGCGGCACGGCAGGCGGAGCTCAATCCCCTCTGGCCTCTACTCCAAGTCGACGCCCAACCTGCCCACGCTGGGCGGCTTCAATGGCGAGGGCCACGACGCGCACGACGTGAAATCCCCTCGACGGACCGCGACCCGCCCGGGCCCAAGTCCGCTGTCGCCGGCATCGAATGGTGGCCATTCTGAGGCGGCGTCAGACAACCACGACGCTGACTACGACGACGAGGGGGCCTTTGCCGTGCGCGATGGGCAGAGCGACGACTCGTGCGAGGATGACGACTCCGACTCCGACGACAACAGCAACAGCAACAACAACGTCGATGTGCGCGCCGCTCGCGGCCTCTACACGTCCAGGTCGTCGTCGCATCTGCCCCAGCATCCCGCCACGACGCTCTTCCCGCCCTTTTACAACCGCCCGCCCAACCCTCTGCCGCCGTCGCCGTCGCTGACCTCGCTCCTCCGCCCTGCCTTCAGCCGCCCGACATCGCGGCCGACGACGCCAGACTCGTCCGATGTCGACACGTCGGGCAGGGCTGGCTCGCACAAGAACGGCACCAGCACGCCCACGTCCAACACGACCAACCTGGCCAACTCGGCACGCCACGCCCCGACGGTCCCGCGGGCGTCGCCAAAGGTTCCCACGTACGAGTACTACGGCTTCGCCCTGTATCTCGGCAGCTCGGCCGCCTTTCTCATGTACATCCTCTGGGCCTATGTGCCCGCGCCCATGCTGCACCAGATGGGCATACACTACTACCCCAACCGCTGGTGGGCCCTCGCCGTGCCGTGCTGGCTCGTCGTGCTCGTCGTCTACATCTACGTGGCCCTGGCGAGCTACAACACGCGCTACCTGACGCTGCCGCTGAGCAGCTGCGAGAACCTGGTGGACGAATGCGCCCAGATTGCCGCCGTCGACCGCACCACGCGCCAGATTGTGCGCGACCCCATCCTGCTGACGGACAGGCTGCACCAGAGGGACAAGGACAAAGACACTAGACCAAGTGCGCCCCCCAGCCGTCGAGGCTCCTTTTCGGCCTACCAGTTCGACGCATCACATGACGTCGACTGGAAGAGCCTCTGGAGCATAGGCACCGATGCCGTCATGGATGTGCCCATTGGCGGCGTGTGCGAAATACTCTACGGCAGCGACGGGTGACATGCACGCCGTCATCCTTACCACTACTGAATAATCTCCATTCACAATGCCCATCACACCCTCCCTGTCGCTTGTCAGCCAAACACGTCCGTGTCCGCGTATCTGCGCGGAAAAGCTTGTAACGCCCCAGTCGCCAGACCACACCCCACTTACATGCCCCTCCCAACATTGCATAGTTCCATGCAGAAACGCACGTTGGGCAACTGCCCCGCTGCAATGGTCGCCGACCATGGTTGGGATTGGACAAGCGGGAAGCTGTTACTATCCAGAATCCGGTACTTTCCTCATGTTTCCTTAGCGGGGCTCTTTGCAAGATAGTGGTATAAACTCCCGCCTTAGCCCCTCTGACTGTTCCTCGTCCCGCCTTTTGCTCTGGGCTCAATTGCTTGTTCCGTCTCGTGTGCAGCTTGATTCGTTGCCCGCACTCCAATTGCCCACCATGAAGTCCGCGGCTGCTCTCTCCGCCCTCTCTCTGCTCGCGGGCGCCGATGCCGCTGAGACTATCCTGGGAGCCTACGTCTTCCACCGCCATGGCGACCGCACCCCAAAGGCCCTTCCTCCGACCAACCTGACGACGCTTGGCTACGAGCAGGTCTACACGTCGGGCCAGTACTACCGCTCACGCTACCTGTCTGGTAACTCCAAGATTCGCGGCATCAACGAGGACGAGGTCAAGCTGTCCCAGCTGCAGGTCCAAGCACCCGTCGACAATGTTCTGCAAAACTCTGCCATGGGCTTCCTCCAGGGCCTGTACCCGCCTGTCAGGACCGTCTCGACGCTGGCCAACGGCCAAAGCGTCCAAGCTCCCATGGATGGCTACCAGCTCATTCCCGTCAACACCATTGAGACTGGCGCCGGTTCCGAAGACTCGGGCTGGCTCCAGGATGCATCCAGCTGCCAAAACGCAAAGGCGAGCTCAAACTCGTACTTTGACAGCGACGAGTACAAGAAGCTTGCTGCAAGCACCTCTGGCTTCTACAAGTCGCTTGTCCCGTCCATCAACGGCGTCATCAGCGCCGATCAGGTGACTTATAAGAATGCATACATTGGTGCGTCTTCTATACCGCCAATTCGCCATCACTGCTAACGAGATCAGTCTTCGACACCATCCACGTAGCCGAGATCCACAACTCCAGCATCCCCAACTCGGCTGTCCTGACCAACTCAACCCTGCTCCAGCTCAGCACGCTCGCAAACGCCCACGAATGGGGTCTTGCCTACAACGCCAGCGACGACACGCGCGCCATTGCCGGCATGCAGCTCGCAGGCGAAATCCTCGACTACATGAACGGCATCATCAGCTCGTCTGGCTCCAAGAAACTCGGCATCCAATTCGGCGCCTACGGCACCTTTGCCTCGTTCTTCGGCCTCGCCAACCTGCCACGCGTCAGCACAGACTTTACGGGTATCGTCGACTACGCCAGCTCCATGGCCTTTGAGCTCTTCACCACTGCCGACGCAACCACCGGCTTTCCCGCCGAATCCGACCTCCAAGTGCGCTTCTTGTTCCACAACGGCACCGCCTCCAACGCCAGCCAGCCCGCCGTGTACCCGCTCTTCGGCACAAATGCCCAGACTCTCTCGTGGACTGACTTCAAGACTAACCTCACTAAATTCGCCATCACGTCTACCCAGCAGTGGTGCAACAAGTGCGGAAACAAGGCCGGTGCCTGTGCGGCCTACGCGGGTGCCGCTGATGCGGCGTCTACACAGCAGAGCAAGAAGAGCAATGGCATCTCCCCTGCCATCGGAGGCGTCATTGGCGCCTTTGTCACGCTCGCTGTTGTCCTCGGCTCTCTCGCTGCCTTCATGCTGCTCGGTGGCTTCAGACTGGTCAGCAAGAAGGCGCTGAACAGGGGTGTGTCCAATGTCAATGTTGAGCCCAAGGCTTAGGTGCGTGCGTGGCTGCACGGAAATGGCAATGCAGTGAGTTGGGAGTGTGAAGATGAACCATAGTATACTGTGTGTTTACGACGAGGGATCACGTATTATGATGTATGTCCATGAGTGAAATGCAATACAATGATAATCAGAATACCTGGTTCATGCAATCTTTGTTATCTTTTTATTTTTTTCAGAAATAGTCACGACGGAATGGTTTGGAAAACTGTGACATGTATGTTATACCCATTTACGTCGTAGCGTGATCAATGTACCCAGCCATGGTGGGGGGGGGGGGGGTGGTATATAAATATGAGGAAAAGAAAAAAAAACCATGTATAGTGCATGCATACCCAGCCCTGCTATATCCCCAGCCCCATCATCATCATCATGCCATTTTGCCCTGTTGAAAAAGAGGAGAAAAAGAAAAGGAAAGAAAAAGAACCCCCGAAACGCCAATTCCATGCAAACTTCCATCCCACCGCGCCTTGGATCCCACATACAAACCCAAGGCCTCAGATTGCTAAGCCCTGAGTACACTAAAATGGTCCTTGGGCTTCACTCTGGGAGCGCCAAGCCCGCGCCTAACTTCGTCGAGCTGCTCGATGCCCGTCTGCTGCTTCCCACGCTTAACCCTGCGCTTACCCTGCGTATGGTGGGAGCCGAGGAAATCATCCATGATGGAGTCGAAATCGGATCTGAGCAGCGGCGGGGCGTGGCTATTGCTGCTGGTAGTGGTAGACGACTGGCTTATGCCGGTGAGGCCACTGATTTTGGAGATGCCCGAGGCCAGGGAGGCGTCGTCGGGAAAGTCAAAGGTAGAGTCGTCGTCGTTGGCGTATTCTTCTTCGATTTTGTCGAAGCGCTGGTCCAGTAGTGTGAGGCCTTCTGTGCGGTGGAGCGCCGACGATGTCATGGAGTAGCCCGATGTAGATGTCTTTGCGCCTTTGCGCTTTTTCTTGCGGCCGCCGGCCGTCAGGGCCGAGGCGCCTGTGATGAAGGATTGCGTGTCTGCGGGGCCAGAGGGCTTGGTGGTTGTGGGCTTTGCGGCTTTGACGTCGTCTTTGAATTTCTTGAATTCCTTCAGGTACGCCATGTCTGCTGCGTCTGCTGGGGCGGGCGCCTCGTCGGGCGCGGGGAGCGACAAAGGGTCGGCGGTCGACTTTGGCTTGGGCGACGAGGCTTTGATTGTGTCGTCGGTTTCCCAGCCGGGGTCTTCGTCGTCGAGGAAGCGGTCCATGGGGTCGCGCTCGTCGTGGGCCGAGTCTGCGCTGGCGCTCCATTCGCGTTGGTCGACTTCGTACCCGTCTTGGGCGAGCTCGTTGAAAATGTCCTCCTCGTCGTCCACGTAGGCCTCATCTTCGAGCGCCTCCAGCACTTCGCGTAGTCGCGGGTCCATGTCAGGTTGGAATCCCGCAATGGCGTCGGGGATGTTCTGCTGGTCTTGGTACGTCTGCTTCCGCACAAACTCCGAGGGCGCCATGTCCTCGCCAAACAGGTCGCTCACGCTGCTGATGTTGCTGCTCACGCTCATATCGGCTTGGCTTCTGCTGTCGTTCAGCGAGGCGTCTCGCAGCATGTCGGCCAAGTCCATCTTCTGCTTTCCCTTCTTTTCAGGCTTGGCCTCGACAAAGTATGCGTCGCCGCCACCCGTGCCCAGGTCGCGCATGTGCTGCATGTAGTCGTATTCCGTGTCATCGTAGAAGATGCCATAGTTGGCGGCCTCGCCCTCGTTGCTGCGCACTTTGTTGCCGTACTCGCTCTCCAGTTCGCGCCTCGACTTGATCTTGCTCCGTCCGGTCGCTGCCGAATACTGCGACGCTCGCGAACTGCCTGCCGGCTCCGATTCCTCGCGCTTGTTGGGTGCGCTGGTCTCGGCAAAGACCATCTGCGGGGCGTCTTCATCGTGGATGCGCGGGTCATTCTGGGCGCGGTGCACGAGGCGAAAGTTGGTCGCCGTCTTCTTATCGCTTGTCGCGGGGTCAGCGGGGCATCGCGACGCACTCAATTTGGCAGCTTACATGAACTTTCGGCGAGGCATCGTGGCGGCTGTGTGCGACTTGGCAGCGTGTGTCAGGGAAAGTGGCAATTGTTGGCTGTAGAAGTCTGGGGAATGCCCGCTGCTTACCAACGAAGCGTCTTTTGGCGTCGGGCTCGAAAAATAATTTAGGCGAGTGGACCGGTGAATGACGTGGGGCAACTTTTTGGTCGCAACTTTCTCCTCCGACTCACCACCCCTCTTCTACTGGGACAAACCCTCGAAACAACATATTCCCAGGCAACCGCAATCATGGTGCTCGCAAAGTCCAAGAAGAGCGTCGGGCTGGGCAACAGCCTGATGAACGATCGGTTCAGCAAGGGCAAGGGCGCTGACATGCGGAGGGGCAACTTTAACCAGGGAATCGAGCGGACAGGCCAAAATGGCGAAAAGGTAGGCACAACATGCACTGGGACTCTGTCGCAAGCCTGCAAAAATTAGGAGTGTGCAGAGGACTCATAATTCATCGTCGTATGCTGACACCCTCAGTACATCACCAACGAGAAGAAGGAGGCAGCATGGGTAAAGATGCGCTCCGTCACCGAACAAGGCGCTCTTGACGACTTCCTTTCGACCGCGGAATTGGCTGGTACCGACTTCACGGCCGAGAAGATGAACAACGTCAAGATCATACACAAGGACCAGAAGAACCCATACCTCCTCTCAGCCGCCGAGGAGCAAAGCGTCACTCGCAAACACAAGGAAAACAGGAACAGGCTGACTGTGCCGAGGCGACCAAAATGGGATGCGCAGACGACACCGCAGGAGCTGGACGAGAGGGAGAGAGCGTCGCTGCTGCAGTGGCGAAGAGGCTTGGCGGAACTGCAAGAGAACAACGACCTGCTCATGACGCCTTTTGAGCGCAACCTCGAGGTCTGGAGGCAGTTGTGGCGTGTGATTGAGCGATCCGACCTGGTAGTGCAGATCGTGGATGCCCGAAACCCGCTCATGTTCCGATCCGAGGATTTGGAGGATTATGTCAAGGAGGTGGACCCTAAGAAGAACAATCTGCTGCTCGTCAACAAGGCGGATATGATGACCCTGGAGCAGCGGACAGCCTGGGCCAACTACTTTACCGAGGCTGGTATCAACTTCAAATTCTTCTCGGCTGAGCTGGCCAAGGAGATGAACGAGGCGCGTGAGTTGGCAGAGGGAAGCGACGAATCAGGAGATTCAGACTACCTGGACGAGGAGGATGTTGAGGAGGAAATCGACCCTGAAGATGACGAGCTTGCAAAGGAGGCCAAGAAGATTGACCTGCAGGATAAGCAAGAAGAGAAGGAAGAGTGGGTGGACGAAGAGACTGTCGACGTTCCCGGCCAGAGCAGGGCTGAAGCAGATGGCGATGAGCGGACACGGATACTTACCACGGACGACCTCGAAGCGCTGTTTCTGCAGCATGCACCAGATATTGACACTGGACCAAACGGCGAGCCTCGCAAGACGTCGATTGGTCTTGTTGGTTACCCCAACGTCGGAAAGTCGTCTACAATCAACGCCTTGATCGGCGCGAAGAAGGTGTCTGTGTCTGCAACCCCCGGTAAAACGAAGCACTTCCAGACTATCCACCTCAGCGACAAGGTTGTCCTTTGCGATTGCCCTGGTCTTGTGTTCCCCAATTTTGCCACCACAAAGGCCGAGCTCGTATGCGCAGGTGTCCTACCAATCGACCAACTGCGAGAATACACTGGCCCTGCAGGTCTCATCGCCAGGCGGATTCCAAAGTCCTTCCTTGAAGCCCTGTATGGTATGAAGATTCATCCCCGCCCTCTTGAAGAAGGCGGCACTGGAATCCCCACTTCTGAAGAGGTCCTGCGCGCCTTTGCCATTGCCCGAGGCTTCTCCACCCAGGGTCTCGGCCAACCCGACGAATCGCGAGCCGCGCGCTACATCCTCAAGGACTACGTCAAGGGCAAAATCCTCTTCTGCCACCCCCCGCCCACAGATCCTCCAACTGACGAAAAGTACTTTAACCGCGAACTCTACGACGCAAACCACCTCCCGGCCAAGCGTCGACACCACCCTCTCGCAAACGCCGGCGGCAGCTCCTCCCTCGCAGGCACATTTCAAGAGGATCCTTCGCTCATGGACGACGATTTCGACGGCGGCGTCCCTATCGAGGGCGAAAAGACACAGCGCATGGACAAGCGGTTCTTCGGCCCCGGCCAGGGAATGGCCAAAGTCACCCAGCCATTCCACTACAAGTACAGCGAGCAGGGCAAAGAGCTAAGCGGGCGCAAAGCAAAAATGATGGCTGCCCTCGAACAAGACGTGGATCCTGCCGACCTGAAGATGAACAGCAAGAAGCATTTCAAAGCTAACAAGCGGAGGGCGAAGAAGGTGCGATCCGAGTATGTGGATTAAGCCTCGTTCACGCTACATGGTTGCATGGCTGGCGTTTGGCGGGCAGTGCTTTTGATTCTTTTTTTCTTTTTTTTCTCTTGTGTGAAACAGAGATAGCTTAGCTGGCTGGTCTACCAGTTTTGCGTCATGGCGTATGAAGGATGAGAAATTTAAAAGCTTTTTCGTTACATGTGCTGTCTGTGCTTTGTGATGAAGTGATTGTCCCTTTTTTTTCCTCCGTGCTGACGCTATATCATATGATGAGAACTAGGACAAGGTTGTCACTAGTCCTAGGATGAAGAGTAACGGCAGTACATGTGTTATTAGAATTCATGCAGTTAATCCACTACTCGCTCGTCTGCAAGGCAGAGCGAGGCAGAGCGAGGCAGAGCGAGGCAGAGCGAGGCAGGTCGAGGCAAGGGGGGGCTTCCCATTCCTGTCCGAGTACCTACTTATTAAACCCCAAGTACATATACCTACTTTATATCTAACTAGCCATTTCTACCTACCCACTTACTTACGTAGACGCCCAACCGGTATCCAGGCTGGTATCCAGACCCAAGACCCAAGACCCAGTCCCATTTACCCGACGACTCATGACTCCGTACTGTAACTGCGCTTTACACACTGCACTACACTGCACTACACTACACTACACTACACTATACTACACTACACAAGCACCAGTAGACCTCATTGACGCACATGTATATATATATATATCTATCTATCTATCTATCCATGTATCTATTTATTTATTTATCCGCCTCGCTCGCACATGTGCACTGCATGTTGCATGATAATCATAAAGATAATGGTGGATACGATAACAACAATAACAACGACGACGATAACGACGACGATAACAACAACGACGACAATAACAACGATAATGATGGATCCAAGCTATAAACAAGTACAAGTTCAAGTTCAAGTACAAGTAGTATAGTGAGTGTAGCTGAAGACTATGTATGATTTATTTTCTTTCTTTCTTTCTTTCATTCTTTCTTTACTACTGTACATCGAGCAAAAGGGAAACGGGAAACGGGAAACGGGAAACGGGAAACGGGAAACGGGAAACGGGAAACGGGAAACGGGAAACGGGAAACGGGAAACGGGAAACGGGAAACGGGAAACGGGAAACGGGGAAATGGGGAAATGGGGAAAAAGACAGGTAGATAGATAGATAGATAGATATATATAATTTACATTTTTTGTTCTTGTTTTTTTTAGCTGTATACATGGAGACATGTGTACGAATGTAGTTGATTAGGTAGATAGATAGAGAGATAGGTGAGTAGATAGGTAGATAGGTGAGTAGATAGATAGGTAGAGAGAGAGGTAGGTAGGTAGATAGATAGGTAGGTAGATAGATAGAGAGA